GAGGGGAGGGATGCAGGAGCACGCCATTCCTGAGCAGTCAGGCTTTCCGGCCACAACATCCTGTGCCAGGAACCGCTGGCCCTGAAGCGAGACGCCGAGGGAGCCACGGCCCCTCATGTCCACCTCTCTTGCATCCCCGGGGCTGCCAAGCTGAGAGCACAATCCCAGGCTCTGTCCTTTCTGTGCATCAGCCGGCAATCCCGCAGCGACATGGTTCCACTTCCCCCTGCCCAGAGTGCCCCCCCAACTCCCCCAGCCTCAGCCTGGGGAGACGAGCAGAGGAAATACAGAACCAGGATCTGTCTGAGGAAGGGAGCAGGAGGAGAGGTGACCTCAGGGCTGTCCCTCCTTTGCAGCAGAGCCTGCGTGGAAGCCCTTCCTACCCTGGGTGCCTGCACTGGCTACCTCCTCCTCTTTTCCCCAACAAACAGAAACAGATGCACGCAATCACAGGCACATACGTGACGTGGAAACTTAGACCCATGAGAACACACTACCACACAGATGTGCACAGAGGGTTCCTGCATGAAGCACAGATATGCTTGAGCACTCTAGAGGCTCAAGCACGTACACCCTCAGGAACACGGAAATAAGCACACAGGCAGGAAACCTACTGAAAAGCTCAGGTTTCTTCGTCTCCTTTTCTCCCGGCTTTTTTCCTTTTTCCCTGGCTTCCACCACGCTGTTCCCTCTCCCTTCTCTGTAACGTCCTCCTCCCCCTTTTCTAACCTCACGATCTCCACCCTCCAGGGCAGGAGTGGGGATGTGGGACTGGGGGCAGGACAGCCAGCCAAGGCAGAGGCCACACCAAGTAAGAAAAGTTCCTCCCTGGATCGCCATGATTCCCTCCCCGGCCTCTGCTCACCCGAGCCTGCTGTCAGCTTCCCTTCCCTGTCACTTTGCCCTTTGTGTTTTGCAGTTCCCCTCGGTGCTGATTTGAATCAGATTTCAGGGGTGTGTGAGTGCACAGGTGTGGGTGTCCACAGGCATCTTATGCTCCTCTAGGACGGCACTAACTGCCAGTCGTTTGCTTGTACCAGTGACCACGTCTCTCATCTCAAACTTCATTTCCCTGAAACCAGTTTTCCTTCTAGCTAAGCACTTCCTTCCTGCAACCTATTTCCTATCCCACTGTCTTTTACCCTTTTACCACACCCCGTGGGACCATTCCTTTCTCTGCTGCCCATCTATTCCCTCATGGACTCCATTCCCTCATGGACTTCTCTCCTTCCTCCCTCTCTCGAGCTCCGTTTTCTTGTCCTCCCCCAATCTGGGTTCCACTTGCCTCCACAATCCTGAGGCTGTCATCAGGTGGGTCCTCAGATAGCTGGGGGAAGGGGCTGGGCAGGAGCAGCTCCCGCGTGGCCACCGCCTTCACGAGCAGAGTGAGGGAGCAGGATGGCATGATCACATAGAAGGTGCTGGCTGGGGCTCTCTGGCCATGTCCTAGACTCAGGGGCTCCCCTCTGGCCAACAACAGCCATTCTCTTTTCTGAAAAAAAGGACAGATATAAATATTCATCTTTAGTCTTTGGCGTATTTTGAGGATCAATCCCATTTGAGGCTTCTCCGAGTTCCTTTGGGAAGTCCACATCATTTCACCTTGGTCCTAGAAGAGAGGGACTCGCTGCCTGAATCACCAGTAACCCGAGGTGATTAACTGTTCTTCCCTGATCTGAGATGTGCCAGGAGGAGTACAAGAGGGTTAACAGTGGAGAGACAAGTTATGTGCCTTTCACTTGAAGTACGGGGGAGGGGCTAATGGACTATCCAATAGTAAATGTGGAGTTGTAAGAATTACAATTGTCTTTTAAAAACAATTTCCCCCTCTTATTTATGACAGAGTGCACATAAGAGAGAGAGAGGGACAGAGAGGAGCACCCTCCACAGGGTCAGGTCATGCCACTGTCCCCTTCCTCCAGTCCTTTAGCCTGCTGGGTCTTGGACACTCATACATGTGCGCAGCATGGTTCCAGCTGACTTGGCTGGGGATTTTCACCGAGGTTACCATGTGGGATCCAGTTTCTCCCAGGCAGTGCTTACCCTTGTGCCATGGAGCCAGCTCCAAGAGGAGTCTTGGAACTTATATGGGGTGTTGTAGAAGTTCAGTTATTTTTTTGAGGGTGATTAAGTCTGCTAGTATTGCTAATGACTAAGGTTAGAAGGGGCTGATGGGGAAATAACCCTGGAATGCCCAGAGAGGGTTTTAAGAGGAAGGGTGTGTCAAAGCAGCTTGCAAAGCAAGTGGAGGAGGAGAGAATGGGGAGAGGGGAGATTTGGTACAACGAGGGGATGGGTGGGAGCCAGGGCCTTCAAGATCCGCTCAGCCCAGAACAGGACAAAAAGAAGGGCCTGAATTCTGGGGCAGTGACCTGGTGAATGGAGGGTATGGCAGAACAGGGGGTGGCATTTTGGCATGTGCTGTGGAGGTGACAGAGGTCAGCACATGGGTAAGAAGGGAGAAGCAGTCTGTTGGTAGATTTTATAGGTATACTCTTTTGAATGAAGCAATTTTCTGTGTTTTTCAAGGAAAATCACAGAAGTCCAGGAAATACACGTGGCCCAAACATAACAGCCTCCCTGCTACATAACATGAAAGAAAACACAGTAGCTCTGCCCGCACGGATATGAAAAGTTGGAAGAGATAATATAAGAGGAAAGGCAAACAAAAACTATATTTGAAGGGCAATAGGAGTATCAGTGTCTTGGGGAAGACAAGTGGAAAGTGACACAGTGAGGCTGAAAACTAGAAGCTAAAACTGACAGTGTGACATTTCTTGCACCTCAGTGTTAAGGGTTAAGGGACAAACTCATACCTGCTACGTTGTGGGGTTACTACGAATCTTCGAATGTTCCTGTTCCGTATGAAAGATTTTCTACTACTAGAATTTGAATCAATTGATTTTGAGGCAAAAGCTAAGATCCTGTTAGATAATTGGTATGCAGAAATGACTGCAGTCTCTTCAAAGTCACTGCTGATATGGGAACTTATAGGGGACTGGGAAGAGGCTGAACTGAAAAGATTTTACAGAAAGGTTTAAAACTTGTGGGGTAACTCATAGGAAGGTTGGAAGAGGACTCTGGGAGGAAGAGAAACAAATGCATCTTTTTTAGATGAAGAGATTAATTTAAATTTCCAGGAGTATTCTGAGAAAATGAGTTCATCTCTAAAAACTCTTTCTGGGACCAGCAGTTGGTGTAATGGCTATGTTGCTAGACTCCCATGTAGTCCACTGTGGTTAAGTCATAGACCCAGTGGCTTAAACTCATGTTGGGCGCATGTGCATGAGTGCCCAAGATTCCAAGAGGAGAATGGCTGCTCAGTACTTTAGAAAATGTTTTTTTGTTTTCTTTCTTTGTATTATTTTATTTTATTTTATTTTATTTTATTTTATTTTATTTT